CAAATACTTATTTTTCCTTACATTTTATTTTAGGACTCACAGTATTGATATTTATAGAAGCTCGTGTGTGTGTGTGTGTGTGTGTGTGTGTGTGTGTGTGTGTGTGAGTGAGTATATATGTTAGATTTATAACATTTCCTAGCCTTAATATTGTTAATCTCTAGTTTCAAAGCAGATTTATGTATACGTATTTTTAAATCATCCACTCTTCTTTTTTATATTTTAGCATCAAAATCAGCTGACGTCTACAATGCTTGTTGACATAGATTAATGATATCTTTAGGTAGACATCTGACTACTAATATTAAATATAATTTAATATTTTAGCCATAGATTAGACTCAGTACCTTTCAGGAAAAATAATAAATTATTTAATAGGTAACTTTAAAGGTAGTCTTCAAAAGTGATATGAAAACGTTGAATCAGAATTAAGCAAGCTTTTAAATCAGGATCATTGAAGTGAATGGTGAAAGAGTAAAATTATTGCCAGGGTTTTAAATTTCTCGTAGTCATTGGGTAAAGTGAAATGAAGTTAAAATATCATTATAACATTGGTTTTAGAGGACAAAGCTATCAGATGTTTCAGTAGACACGGTTTAACCTAGTATGTATTCAAATATATAATAATGATAAATGTTATAACAAGTGTACATCAACATTTTCTCCTCTGTAGATTGTAAGTTATTGCCTTTATGTTGCTGGGGGCTACTGCATATGGTGTGTATGTGTGCACATGTATGTGCTGAAAAATACCCTTGCTCAAAAAAGAATTAATCTCATGATCATAGTTCTAGCATTTTCTTTTGATTTTCACTCTAGCCACAATCTTAAACCTGTTACTCTTAAATGTGATTGCCACAGGTTCACTTTCAATAATGAGCAAGCAATTCAATAGTTTTTTCCTATTTTGCATTTCTGTAATATTTTAAGTCAGGTTGCTTATTTAGATTTTAAATGGCTAAATTGTGTTTTTTCCTCATAGAGAAAATATAAAGTTATAGGTTTAATATTTACAATGAAAATGTCAAATATATCTATCCTACTAGCCTTTTGAGGAGCCCTGGTTGGTAAGTGGTTAAATGCTCGGCTGCTAACGAAAAGGTTGGCATTTCAAACCTACCAGCTGCTTCACGAGAGAAAGATGTGGCAGTCCGCTTCTGTAAAGATGACAGCCTAGGAAGCCCTATGGGGCAGTTCTACTCCTATGAGTTGGAATCTACTCGATGGCAATGAGTTCGGTTTTTTGTTTTTGTTTTTGTTATTAACCTTTTAATAAGCGTGTGTATGTATGTATTTTGCATTTACCATTGAGTTTTACTAGCAAACTTGAGACCATTTCATTTGTGTATATTTTATATATATATTTATAGCTTTCCTTATTGCTTTATTATATTATATACATATATATAATGTATAATATATTATAGCTTTATATATATATTTATAGCTTTCCTTATTGCCCCTTTCAAGTAAGTCTTTAAATTATAACTTTAAGGACAGACTTTATTTTCTCCCAAGCATCTTGCACATAATAGTCGCTGCACAAATATTTGTGGAATTGAATTTAATCTTTCTCCATGATAATGTAAAGGGGAGTTTGTGAGCACACATTTCAGATGTTCTTAATAAAGGTGGCCAAGCAAGCATGCTGAGGCTGCTGTTAAAGAACTTCCTGAATTAGATAGCTTGTATTTGAAATTGGCAAGAATATCAGAAGGTTTGAATGAGTTGGTTTGCTCTAGATATGTATATCTTATGATTAAGCCATGAGATCCTGGGAGTTTGACAGATTTTTTTTTTCCATTTTCTTAGAGTTAAGGTAACATGTAAGAATGTCAAACACGTCAGTGATCAGCTCTGCCTGCCGTCTTTGTGCATTTGCAATAATCTGTAAAATATAGAATTTGGTACTTTAGAACATATTTGAGTGTTCATTTCTCCATGCATTTAGCTAAAATCTTATCTTCATAGCTTTGCTGGATACCTGTATTTTGTACTAACAGGACTTTGTTAGGTTCATAAAATACACTGTCCGTGATTACAGGTCATATGAAGGACTTAGTGATGTCAGAGATTATGTTATAGCTCATCTACAGGATGAGTCATTTTCTTTCCTTCAGTCTCCCCCTATTTTCTCACCTGTTTTTGTTGTTGTTGTTTTCTTACCCTCTCTTTTTCTGACTGGATTGCTGCTAGGTAGTTTTTGCCACAATGACATAATCAGTAGTACTGAAAAGTTGTGATAAGAGGAGTCACACACAATCATGTCCAGATATCATAGTACCAGACACTAGATAACCTTTTGGTTGTCCAAGCACATGGGCTGTCTGCTGGCACACCTCCTAGAGGGAGACAGAAAGCACTGGCAGATCTGGGGGCGCTGAAAGGGGCACATGTGTAGGTGGCCTCAGATGAGAGAACTAAAGAGTCTGTCTGTGTCCTCACTCTTGCCTTTTTTCTTTAAGCTATTGTTGCTTGAAGAAATATTTTTCCCCCAAATGTCTGATTTTATATCCTATGTATCTTTTCTTCTAAAAGAATTTTACAGATCTTTACTGGAAAGATAATATCCACTAAAGCACTGTGGTGGGCTCTTTGTTTTACCTAATGTTGATATTAGCTATTCACTCATACCTAGTGTCAGGCCTGTCTACCTAATATTGATATAAGATATTTTATCTTATGCTGTGCTGTACCCTAATGCTTGGGCCATGGTGACAGCTTAGTATCTATAACTAACTAACTGACTGATACTTAATATTTGTAGTTAATTAATGATAATGGTAACTATTATTATTAATAGTAGTTATCATATGAATGCTATTCGACTATATATATTGTAAATATTTTCACGTATCAGTCACTCAAATTAGTTTCAGTAGGTGCAAAGTATTAAGCGTAGTGTCTGAAATTACACATTCAGTGTTTGAGAAAGTGACTACAAAGCACTGTGAGAACTAAAAGGGAAATGTACACATTCTTCAACCCCTGCCTTGTTCTTCACCCCCAGTGCTATTGCATACCGTCGTTTTCCCTCATCTGGATGGCTTCTGTTGTCTCCCAATTCATATTCATGACTCTGGTCTTGCTTCTTTGCAGCCAACTTCTATGTTGTTGGTAGAGAAACATTTATAGGATTAAATTTGATCATGTTACTCCCCTCTTTAAAGCCTTTTAGACAGTAGTTCTGAAGCTTTACTGCATAAATGTCACCTGGAGCACTCACTAGACAGATTCTGTCCCATTCCCAGAGACACTGATTTATGTCTGATGTCTGGCCCAGGAACCTGTATTTTTAATAAGCACTACTGCTGATTCTTTGAGAAACACTGTATTAGTGGTTCCCCAGCCTGCAAGATAAAGTTGAAAAGCCTTAGTGTGGCCCTCAGTGCTCTCAAAGAGCCATCCCTTGCATTCTTCCTCTTAGCCGCTTGTGGTTTTGTCAGTGTCCTTCCATGATGTTTCCTGGCTTTATCCTTTTTCACACCTTGCTATCTTTCTGCCAGGAGTTCCTTTTCATAGCTCAAGTTCCCCCTTCTGTGAGGGTCTCCCTGGTCACTCAAGGTGAGGTTTCTTCTTTATGTCCCTTATTGTACCTTGTGGTCCCCTTTATTTATAGCACCATCGCAGTGCATTGCAATAATTTGTTTATATGTCACTGTCTAACTTAGTTTTGCATTCCATGACTAGGAAAGCCATATCTTATTCATGTTTGTAGCCTCAGTGCCTTCCACAAACACAGGATATAATAAGCATTAGGTGAGTGTGGAAGGAATGAATTAAATACAGGAACAAGATTCAGAAAGTCTTGATATATATTTTTTAATTTGTATCCTGTGTAGTATAAATTTATCATCTTACTTATTTATGCTCAGTGGTTAAGAGCTTGGCTGCTAACCAAAAGGTTGGCAGTTCGAATCCACTAGCCACTCCTTGGAAACCCTATGGGACACTTCTACTTTGTCCTTATAGGGTCACTATGAGTTGGAATTGACTCAATGGCAAAGGGTTTAGTTTTAGTTTTTAGATGCACCTTAGATTCTTCATCTGTAGCACAGAAATAGTATTTATAGTCCAACTTCCTGTTAATATCATTCATTCAATTTAGAGTAAAAGTTTATACAAAGGAGGCAGTAATCAGGTTTGCTTGGGAATTCTAGAAATTCTTTTTTAAAGAGGAGCTGCTTGATGCTTCTTTAGTGATAGGTAGAAGTATGTGACAGTAGGGGGACTGAGGAAGAAGCACAAATGCCCCAAACTGGATGGTTCTGGAGGGGACGAGTGGTTTAATTTGCTTTTAGTAGGAGATAATAGGGGATTGTAGCTAGAGATGAAATTAGACAGGTAGGCAGCAGTATGTGCTGGAGGATTGTTTGCACTTTGCAAAGAAGTCTGGATTTTATCCTTGGGTTATGAAATGCCATTGAAGCCTCTTCAGCCAGAAAGAAGCATAATCAGATGGAAGGAGAATTGAGACAGAAGAAAGACCAGCTGAGGGAATTTGGTTGCAATTTCATATGACAGAAGAGTTGATTATCAATTTAAAAATCATTTTATAAAGATTTTGTGAAGTTATTTGTTCATTCTGCTAGGTTTAGGATTATATAAGATGAGTTAGACATGGTGAGTCCCTGATTGAAGTGGTCCCATAGAGTACAAGGAAATGTAAATACATAATGCAACTAATTACATAAATACAACAAAGGCATACAAATATGCCATTAAAAAAAACATTGCTGTTGAGTTGATTCCAACTCCTTGCAACCCCTACAGGACAGAGTAGAACCGCCCCATAGGGTTTTCCAAGGAGCGGCTGGTGGATTCAAACTGCTGACCTTTTGATTAGCAGCTGTAGCTTTTAACCACTGTGCCACCAGGGCTCTGTAAGTCCCTAAAAGGACAGCTGAATAAGTATTTTAATTCCTTTGGCTATTGTTCATTGTTGAATGCGGTATTAAAAACTTTTAATTATAACCATCTTTTAAAACTATTTATTTCAGGGGAATTTACCTAAATATTCTCATAATTCCCTGATGGTTCAAGCAATAAAGACAAACCTAACAGACCCAGATGTACATGTGCTCTTCTTTGACGTGGAAGCGTTGATTATTCAGCTCCTGACTGAAGAAGCCTCTAGGCCGAATACCTCGCTTATTTCCCCAGAGAATTTGCAAAAAGCATCTGGCAGCTCAGACAAAGGGGGCTCCTTTCTCACTGGAAAACGAGCAGCAGTCCTCTTCCAACAAGTGAAGGAAACTATCAAAGAGAACATAAAGGAACATCTCCTTGATGATGAAGAGGACGATGAAGAGTTAATGAGGCAGAGAAGGGAAGAAAGTGATCCTGAATATCGGGCCAGCAAATCGAAGCCATTGACCCTGTTAGAATATAACTTAACTATGGACACTGCAAAACTGTTCATGTCCTGCCTTCATGCCTGGGGTCTGAATGAAGTTCTGGATGAAGTCTGTCTTGACCGCCTTGGGATGCTGAAACCCCATTGCACAGTGTCATTTGGGCTGTTATCAAGAGGAGGCCATATGTCACTGATGCTCCCTGGTTATAATCAGGCTGCCTGTGCACTATCGCATGGGAAAGCAGAAGTAGGAAGGAAGCTGCTAGCAGCCGAAGGAGTAGGAAGGGGAACTTACGGAGTGTCCCGAGCCGTCACCACACAACATCTCTTGTCTATCATATCTTTGGCAAATACCTTAATGAGTATGACCAATGCAACCTTTATTGGTGATCATATGAAGAAGGGCCCTACCAGGTATGACAATGATAGTTTGATTTCTGACATTTGAAAAAAAAGAAACCAGTTATATTTTTGTCCCTGTTTATTACTTTTTTTTTGTCTGTCCAGAGTTTATTATTTAATGTCATTTCAGTGTTTATCCTTTACATTTTAAAACACAGTATGAATGATTGAAAACATAATAAAATTATAAATTTTTATCTATACTCAGACATATTTAGTAGCTATTAAAAAAAAGCTTGGAATCAGAGTAGTAGGTCACAGTTCAGCTTTAACAAATGAACTAACGCTTGAGTAAATATAATCTTAGAGTTGTATCTACTTAAAGTTTCCACTAATATTCAATTTAGAATATACATTTGCTTAAAATGCTTTCCCTCATTGTGACCCACGGTATGTGTTCAGTAATTGGCTTCAGAATTTTATGAAAAGTATAGCCAGAATCTTTCAACAGGGGTAGTAAGTGATCTTATACCAAGTCAAAGCCAAACCATTTGCCGTAGCATCAGTTCCAACTCCTGGAGCCCTCGTGTACTGCAGAGTAGAAGTGCACTCCGTAGGGTTTTCATAGCTTTGACCTTTTGGAAGCAGATCTCTGGGCCTTTCTCCTGAGGCGCCTCTGAGTGGGTTTGAACCAACGGCCTTTCAGTTAGTAGCCATGTGCTTAATTGTTTGCCACCCAGAATACTTAGCTTGAGTTGCAATTTTTCCCAAGTCAAGAAGATAACTTTTTAAGCCCTGATTTTATTATACTCTATTGAGAGTTGAGCATATGAAGAATTTTTTTAATCAAGCAAATACTTACTTAGCACTTAGTTTGTGTAAGTCTCTGTTCTGAGCACTTCACAAATGTTATTTAATGCTCTTAACCCTGTAAGGTAGGTACTTTTATTGTTCCTTTTTTACAGATAAGAAAACTGAGGCACAGAGAGGTGAAGCAGTTTGCCCAAAGTCAGACAGCAAGTAAGTGGTAGAACCAGGATTCAGATAGAGACAGTCTGCCTCTAGAGTCCCTGGTATGCTTAACCCTTAATGCTTCACTGCCTGTCTAAATTTCTTAATGCCTTACTACCTTTTTTAAGGAGTCCCTGGATGGCGCAACCGGTTAACTGCTCAACTACTAGCTGATGGTTGGTGGTTCAAACCCACCCAGAGGTGCCTCAGAAGGCAGGCCTGGCAATCTGCTTCCAAAAGGTCACAGCCTTGAAAACCCTGTGGGGTACACATGGGGTCGCCATGAGCAAGAATCAGCTCCATGGCAATTAACAACAACAATCTTTTTCAGATTTTAGGGCTGAATATTTTAGAGCTCAATTTATTGATCCATGAATTCATTTGGACTGGTGATATGGGGAAGGTTGAACTCTCAGAATACTAATATTGAAGAATGAAAGACCTAATTATGATATTTATCTGTCAGTTGTACTACTTTGAAGTGCTTATAAATATTTCTTGAACTAGCATCAAACATAAATTGTAGATGTAAAATTTTTACTTGCTACTTGCTTGTCATTTATTACACCATTTAATTATTTTACTGTATTAAAATTTTAAATGGAAAGTATTAATAGATATAAAACAAAAAAGAATACCATCTTTTTGGAACAGTAAATTGAAGATGTTCTGTTTTTATATCTTTTGTAATTCCTTTGGAAATAGGAGATTTAATAGGAAAATGTGAATGTATATATACATGTATCTTTGTCTTTTTTTTTTTTAAGGCCACCCAGACCAAGCACCCCAGACCTTTCTAAGGCAAGGGGTTCCCCTCCAACTTCCAGTAATATTGTGCAAGGACAGATTAAACAAGGTAAAATGAAATCTTATTAAGTAATTGACATGGCATTTCAGTTGTAGAAGCTGAGTAGGCATAGCTAATGTATAATCATAATATTTTGTTTGTCTCAGGTTGTTAAAAGAGAGAAAAGTTGTTATATTCCAGATGTAAATGTGGATAATTAAGATGTCAGTTAAAAATAAATCAGATTTATTTAGAAATTGATAAATGAGCATATTTCACATAATTTTATTGTACTGCCTTTGACCTAATTTTTATACATCAGGAGCACCTTAACTTGACAACACTAGGAACTTAATTGTATGTCTAGAATTTAAAACTGTACCTATTTTTTAATGACATTTGGGAATGTTTAAATTCATAGTTCCATGCTATAGCTAATCTGCCATTTGCCAGTAGTTTATACATTGTGATTCACTGGTGGAAATCCTTGTTTGCAACCATTTGTGTTATCTTTTCTTTTTATTTAAATCATTATATACCCTAACTACAGTGTATAGCTTTGTTTTTCATTAGGGGATAAAAAAGAAGAAAAGTTGAGTTTCTCTTCATATATTAGGTATCTTTTATACTCATTTTAAGACTGACAAATGAGCTATTCAAGAGAGTGGGAGCTCACTTCTGCTTACAGAGTTTTCCTTCAGGCCTAGAGTTAAAGCTCACTCTCAACAGCATGTGGTGGAGAGAAATAAAGAAGCAAGCAAGAGAAAGGTCTCCTTCTAAATGGTGACTCGTAGACTTTGTTTTTCTTTATTTTTTATTTTGTTGTTGTTGCAGTTGTTTTTTAGTTTTCAAAGCATCAAAGAGTAGTTCTGTTTAAGTTTTGTTAAACAATAGTCCCCCAACTTGATAGCTACACTTTTTCTCCTCTCCTAGGACAAGTGCTTTATTTCTTATAGCTGATTATTTGATACTTACTTTAATATCCTTAAATGATATGCCAGATTTTCAGTTTTAGGCACTGTCTGTTGACTTCTCACTCTGGAAGATGATGCTGTAGCTCTCACACCCTTTATGCCACTTCCATCCTTCATTTCCAACCCCACGTGGTCACCCTTCTCATCTTCCCGCCTTCTCATTACAGTACGTTACAAACATTTCTATCGTGTATGTAAATAAAAGTGGAATTTCTGGATATGTTTATCTTCAGGTTTAGCAGATACTATTAAGCTTTTATCCCAAGTGAGATAACTGTTGCACACTCACCAAAATGACTAACGTGAAAAAGATTGAAAACACTAAGTGCTGGCTGGGATGTGGAACAATGATAATGCTTACACACAACTGGTAAGATATCTTAGCCAACACCTAATATTTTCAGTCTTTTTCAACTTAGCCATTTTTATGTCATTTTTGTCTTTTTCCTCTGTATGTAATGTATTTACTTTTCTTACCCTGGTTGCTTTTAAGATTTTCTCTAATTCAATGGTTTTCAGCAATTTGATTATGAGGTATCTTGGTAGACTTCATGTTTCTTGTGGTTGGGGTTCACTGAGCTTCTTAGATCTGTGGGTTTATAATTTTCATTAATTTTGGAAAATTTTGGACCACTACTTATTTCTTCAGATATTCTGTATGCCTTCCCCTCTTTTCACTCTTTGTTGTTGTTGTTGTTGTTAGGTGCCGTTGAGTCGATTCCGACTCATAGTGACCCAGTGTACAACAGACTGGAACATTGCCCTATCCTGCGCCGTCCTCACAATCACTGCTGTGTTTGAGCCCACTGTTGCAGCCAGTGTGTCAGTCCATCTTGGTGAGGGTCTTGCTCTTTTTCACTGGCCCTCTACTTTACCAAGCATGATGCCCTTCTCCAGGGACTGGTCCCTCCTGATAACATGTCCAAAGTATGTGAGACAAAGTCTCGCCATCCTTACTTCGAAGGAGCATTCTGGCTGTACTTTTTCTAAGACAGATTTGTTCGTTCTTCTGGCAGTCCATGTTATATTCACGGATATTCTTTTGTTTTTGGATGCTTTTCTTCTTTGTGTGTTTTGTTTTAGATAACTTGTATTGCTATGCCTTCACGTTTACTAGTTTTCTTCTGCAATTTCCAATCTGCTATTGATGCCATTTGTTGTATTTTTCATCTCAGACATTGTAGTTTGCATCTACAGAATTTTTATTTGAGTCTTTTTTATATTTTCCGTCTCTACATTTTGAATGTACACAATACAGTTATAATAACTGGTTTAAAGTCCTTGTCTGATAATTCTGATATCTCTGTCAGTTCTAAGTTGGTTTTGATTGATTCATTATTCTCCTCATTATGGACTGTGTTTTCTTGCCTCTTTGCCAGTCTTATAATCTTTGATTAGATGACTTCATTTTAATTTTACCTTGATGAGTGATGGACATTTTTGTATTCTTACAGATCTTCTTAAGCTTTGTTCTGAGTACTTTACCCAGTTACCCAGTGTCCAATGAATTATGAGGTTTTCCAGTCTGACTGGTGGGAACAGGCACAGTTTCTGGCCCTTTGGATAGTTCTTTTCTCAGCCTTTTGTGATTTCCTTACACAGATAAGCTGATCAGTGCTCTGCTGAATACCTGAGAGAGACCCTCTGAAGATCTCTGAGGTTTTCTCTTTTTGCAGCTCTGTCCTCTCTGTCCTATGAAGTCTAGCTGCCTTGGTCTCCCCAGACTCTCAGGAGTCTTCTAGGCTCCTCCTTGGTCCCCCACCCCCACCCCACCCCGTATGTCTTGGCTTAGAAGCTTTCTTAAGCCAATAAGCTGGGACAATCATAGGGCTCCCCTTGTTTGTCTCCCATATTTCAGTCCTTCTTCGCTTAATGTTTAGTGGCTTGAAAACCATTGTTCTTTGTCTTTTTTTTTTTTTTGGTTGTTTTAGATACAATTATATATCTGGTTCCTGTTGCTCCATCTTGGCCAGGTAGATGCTCCTCTCCTTTTACTTTTAAAATGTTCCAAATATAACCTTACCTGGAAAAAGTGAAAGTCCTTTATGTTGCACAGTTTTAATATTTTTCGATCATCATTTCAGGGACAAATGGAAATAGACTTACATGGGTGACTTGCCTAAAGTACAGTTAATAATGGTGGTATGATTAAAACACAGGCAGCCCTTTTTAACTTAAGATCCTGTGCTTTCTCTATAATAGCATGTATTTTTTTTTTTTTTAATCCATTGAAAATATCTTCTAGGATAGGCCTTACAAATCAGAGCATATCATCCTTCGTTTAGTTAATTTAAAGCTTCATTTAAGATTGACTCCTGTTAGGGATATTATTTGTTGTTATTGTTGTCATCAACATTATCATCTTCATTATCATTCTTACCAGTTGACGTTACTTCTTAGATTCCATTTTTTTTCCCTCTGTAATCATAGTAGACAGAAGCTCCTCAGTACAATTTGTGTCATTATCATTGTGCATTACGTACTCTACCCCCATTGCAGTGTTAAATTTGCCCATCTGGTCAAGTCTGAGAGTTTTAAGGTTGGAATACTTTAATATGGCTTCTCTCAGAAAAGCACTGAGTTTTGAGAGCAGTGAAGAAGGCAATGAGAATTGAGTGTGTGCGTGTGTATATAGATACATGTTATTATTGTTGTTATCTGCCATCGAGTCTCGTAGTGACCCTGGGTACAGCAGTATGAAACAGTGCCTAGTCCTGCACCATCCTCCCAATTGTTGCTATGCTTGAGCCCGTTGTTGCAGCCACTGTGTCAATCCATCTTGTTGAGGGTCTTCCTCTCTTTCACTGACCCTCTACTTTACCAAGCATAATGTCCTTCTCAGGGACTGGTCCCTCCTGATAACATGTCCAAAATGTGTGAGACAAAGTCTCACCATCCTCGCTTCTAAGGAGCTTTCTGGTTGTACTGCTTCCAAGACAAATTTGTTTGTTCTTCTAGCAGTCCATGGTGTATTCAATATTCGTTGCCAACACCGTAATTCAAAGGCATCAATTCTTCTTCAGTCTTCCTTATTCATTGTCCAGCTTTTGCATACATATGCGACAATTAAAAATACCCTGGCTTGGGTCAGGCGCACCTTAGTCCTCAAAGTGACATCTTTGCTTTTTAACACTTTTAAAGTGGTCTTTTGCAGCAGATTTGCCCAATGCAATACGTCGTTTGATTTCTTGACCGCTGCTTCCATGGGTGTTGATTGTGGGTCTAAGTAAAATGAAATCCTTGACAGCTTCACTCTTTTCTCCATTTATCATGATGTTGCTTATTGGTCCAATTATGTGAATTTTTGTTTTCTTTATATTGAGGTATAATCCATACTGAAGGCTGTAGTCTTTCGTCTTCATCAGTAAGTGCTTCAAGTCATCTTCGCTTTCATCAAGCAAGGTTGTGTCATCTTCATATTGCAGGTTGTTAATGAGTCTTCCTCCAATCCTTATGCCCCATTCTTCTTCATATAGTCCAGCTTCTCAGATTATTTGCTCAGCATACAGACTGAATAAGTATGGTGAAAAAATGATGGCACAGTGGTTAATGTACTCGACTGCTAACCAGAAGGTTGGTGGTTCGAAACCACCAGTGGCTCCGCAGGAGAAAGACATGGCAGTCTGCTTCCATAAAGATTTACAGCCTTGGAGGGCCCACAAAGACTCACAAGGACACATCAACTGGGTCCTGAGATAAAGACAATAGATAAGACACTCTTAGAAATTATCTTTTAGAGAAGAAAAATCTTTTAGTGAAACTTTCACATAAAGCCAATCAAAGAGAACACAAAAAGGCTTTTCACTCTTTTCTTTTCTATTAGCATTTAGTGAATGGAAAATTTGTTGGGCCAATGAGGACCCTTCTGACTGTCATTACTGAAATCTGTACCAATGATTGTTAAGAAAGCCAATTCAAAATGTAGAATCACCGTTTCTAGCCAATCTATGAAAAGGTGAAGCTTTTAATGGTTTTGCCCATTTGTAATGTTAATATATACTGATGATTCTGTAATGGTCTTTGGACTCAGGCAGACATGGCTGTGACATCATGCTTGTCTGTTTTCCCATTCTTGCCTATTCTGTAATATTCTTT